TGTGGGGGCTTTACTTGATAAGGACCTAAAAATAATTAAAAATAATGAATTTAAATGGGATTATATGGTTGAAGTATTTGGGTAAGTGTGGGCAACTGCCCATAGTTGGCATTAATTGGGTCCGCCCCTGACTCTAGTGGTTAATAACAATTATCTTTACTGCTGATGTTCTATATTTGAATGTTCATTTCTCCAACTCTGCGAGTTATCTTTATTGCCGATGTTCTATATTTGAATGTTCATTTCTCCAATGGAGCTCGCATAAACAGTTATCAATTTCAACAATTTAACAATTTTCATATGGTCATTCTCATCTCATTCATATTTTGTATTTAAACACCATATTTTGTAATCATATGGTGGATTACATATGCCATATTTGTCAATCTCACTAAAGATAATGTTACTTTAATTGACCCAATTTTTATTAGTCCACTATAATTGGCCTTTTTCTAAATCATTATCCTGATTCAGATAGCCAATTATTTGTTATAATATATACACTCTAGTTGCCTTATTTAATCAATTAATCACCACATGCTAAATAAATATATTTATTTAGAGCCTAAGTTCTTTTCCAGCTTTTCACCTCCTAATAATTCATCAGGGGTTCTCTTAACTGAGAGAGACTTTAATGCAGTTTCCATTCAACAGCGCAATGACATGTATGATAATTTTTTCACTTGTCATTACATTATTAGTCGGGATAATATTATCCCTATTACGAGAATATTTGTTTGCCTCTGAACTTCCCAAAAGGGGCTTATTTAATTACCATATTTTCTTCTGCAAATTCATTTGCCATTAGGCATCTGCCCCAATTGAAACAGGCCACATCACCAACTTCTAAACCTGCGGCTGTGCAATTACCCATATGCCCATAATCCTCAGGCGTGGCGGGGTTTTATTGGTTGAAGGACGGTGGGTGCTGTAAATTTCCGAATAAGCATCCACTGAGATACCAAAAGTGAAAAGGTGGGAAAAGCAGAGGGAAAATTAATAATAAGTGAGGCATGACATGGAGAAACCGAAGAGAGAGAGCTTAGCTCTTAGAAGGCAAAGCCCAATTGCAAAACCTCCGTTTGTGATTTGCCGTTCCCGGGAATCTCGTTCAACGAAAACCCATTTAGGCAATTTGGGTTCTTTTCCCTTTCTTCCAATTCATGTATTAAAACCCTAATAATCTCTGCTCTCGTTCGGCCTCGTGTTGGTTTTGTCAGCTCAGTCAGTCATGGTGGCCGATAGCAAGTCCAAATCTGACATTTCGTTTGCCGGAACTTTTGTCAGCAGCGCTTTCTCTGCTTGTTTTGCAGAGGTGATCAATCAATCTAACCCTGATCAGTGATCACGCTCTTGTTTATGCGAAATTGAATCGTTTTAGATTTTGTATTTGGATCTAGTGCAATGTTTTTGATCTCATAGTCAACCAAGAGCCAAAACCCAAGTGTTAGCTAGTGATCAATTTTGTCTCTGATATATCAGCTATGTCAAGCTTGTGAATTTTCTATGTGGGTTCCTGGTTGTGCCCAAAATTTTTGCATGAAGAAAGAAGAAGCTATTTTGCTTTTGCTTTGTACTGCGTTGAGAAATAACATTTTTGCTATGCGGTTTAATTTTCTGTGTAATGAAACCCAATGCCGCCCTTGAATCTTAGTTTAGCTTGTTGTGATCAGAAAATCCTGTATACACACACCACACGCACAATTCAGTATAAGCAGACAGTTGATTGTGCTATGTTCCAACTGTTTGCTTAGAAGGGCCTGGAAATTTTAAAGCGCTTTTGATTAACTTGATGCAGATTTGTACTATTCCATTGGACACTGCTAAAGTTAGGCTTCAGCTCCAAAAGAAAGCTGTTGCAGGTGATGGAGTGGCCTTACCTAAATACAGGGGTATGCTGGGTACAGTTGCTACCATAGCCAGGGAAGAAGGTCTATCGGCACTCTGGAAGGGAATTGTACCTGGATTACATCGTCAATGCCTGTATGGAGGTTTGAGAATTGGGTTGTATGATCCTGTACGTCTCGAGTTTTTTTTTCTCGTTTTTTTCTTATAAAGCAAACTTCTTGTGTAATATTTTTTTAGTGTATGTGATATCTGTGCTCTCTAATGTCTAAAACTAGCATATCAATTGTGTGCTTTACAGATTAAAACCTTATATTGCGGGGGCAGTGACTTCGTCGGAGATGTTCCTTTGACAAAGAAGATACTTGCTGCCTTAACAACTGGTAAGCATGGTTGCGGATGCTTTTAAATTTACATATGATTTCTGATGGCTTTGTGATAGAATGAAATAAGGCTTTTGCGCTATATTTGTATTATTCTCTCTAGTACAAGTGGTGTCTCATCTTTTACTTGTCTGGAAGTTGGATTTTATTTCTTTCCTTTCTTAGATGGAAAGATAGGCAGTATGATTTACACTTCTGGTGTTTCTTTTGCTGTTTGGTTTATTGTAGGTGCTCTAGCAATCACAGTGGCAAATCCAACTGATCTCGTGAAAGTTAGACTTCAAGCTGAAGGAAAATTACCCCCCGGTGCACCAAGGCGCTATTCTGGAGCACTGAATGCCTATTCCACCATTGTGAGACAGGTTGAGCATCTATCCTGGAAATTTTAAAAAAATATATAAAAATATATAAAAAAAGGCGCTATTTTGGGGGTAGGAATTGAATTATATTTTTGTGACTTTCTTAAAATCTAAAATATTAGGAAGGAGTTGGGGCTCTCTGGACTGGGATTGGACCCAACATTGCACGTAATTCCATCATTAATGCTGCCGAACTAGCCAGTTATGATCAAGTGAAGGAGGTAAGCTCATCACTAACAATCTTCTTTCTTCTTTTGATGCAGAACTCTTGTCGCTATTTTTAAATCTGTATGTATTTCTATGCAGACACTTTTGAAACTTCCAGGGTTCTCCGATAATGTTGTCACTCATCTTCTTTCTGGTCTGGGGGCAGGTTTCTTTGCTGTCTGTATTGGCTCACCAGTTGATGTGGTAATCTAACTACATTCACATCTGAAATCTTTCTGATTGGTCTCTAGTTAAGTATTCCTGATATCTAGTGCATACTATGTCTGCTTACATGTTCTGGCCGCAAGAGAATTAATGATCTTACTAGCATGTGTATTAGCAGACAGGCAACCGTCGTATTTGTTAATACTGAAGTAGCATGCACTCAGTTAATACTTTCTTTTGATGTTCTCATCCTGTACTTTTATATCATTAAAAGATCTACACTAGTCTTGTGTCTAAAGAATGTGCATATATTATTGATTGGTCGATTTAGGTCCACTTCAGCGAAGCATGGAATCATTTATAGGGTTGCCTATTTGCATGTATTGGTTTAGCTGCATTTATTCTATTGGGATCATACAACATCAGATTTAATTTATTTTTCTTCATCTTTTCTCAGGTTAAGTCAAGAATGATGGGAGATTCTGCTTACAAAAGCACAATTGATTGTTTCCTCAAAACTTTGAAGAATGATGTATGAATAATTTCTTCCAGCACCTTTTAGCATATTCTTAACTTCCTACCATAGTATTGCTTTAATAAGTTAAGAAGTTATGGAATCAAGTATTTATGTATCTTTATGAGTGAGATGTAGGAATTAAAGTTGTTGAGCATTCCCATGTTTTTTTTTTTTCAAACAAGTTATGCAGTTGATTATCTAGAGGATTTAAGCACTAAGTTATTTGCACTGTGTGTCTATGTTCAGACTGAGTAGGGTACTAACCCTAACTTTCATTCTGTGTATCTTTGTTAATTGAAGAACCTTATTAAAAGATAATGATTATTAACAACATTCAATGTTTTACAGGGACCTTTGGCCTTTTACAAGGGCTTCATCCCAAATTTTGGACGGCTAGGATCGTGGAATGTCATCATGTTTCTAACCCTTGAGCAGGTAAATTTTGCAACACATTCCCTTTTCTATTCTCCACCCTTCCATCCTTGGTCTGAGAACCCTTTCCACTTATCTGTGGAGCTGTCGTTTTCTTTTAAAACCTTGTCTTAACTAGCCCGAATTGCTTTCTCATCTGTTCAATTTCATGGCAGGCTAAGAAGTTTGTGAAAAGTATAGAGTCATCATGAGTTCAAGGTAGTCAAGCCAACAATGTGGATTTTGAAGGGTAGTAGCATCTACAGCAAATGATAGTTGTTTTAGAGATTAATAAGGCCCTAGACAATTTTAATCGCATTTTTTGCTAACTGAGGAGAAGATTCCTCTCACGGAAAACTGTTAACTTGAAACTCGGAAGTTTTACAAATAATTATCATGGTTTTCCGGATTACATATCTTTCCTCTGTTATCATATTGATAATTTTTCTATTATTTAGATTTGCATTGTAATAACGCTCTGATTGCTTTCTTTGCCACACGGGCCAAATATAACATGAGCGGATTGATAATACCTCGTGTCTATATATTGATCACACCGTAGAGTTATTCATTTTGATTGATATGGATTGGAATTTGGATATATGCAGACAAATACTTATCGATTTTTCTCTTTTCCGGTTAAGGTGTCAATTAAACTAAACAACAGTAAAGCATTTAGGATGATGTACTCTCATTATAAACTCAGCCAAAATTATTGTTTCTCCCCTTTAAAACTCAAGTAAATGTTTTTATTTTTTATTTTTTAAAAGGGACAAGAAGCTTGAAGTCAACGACCAATTTCCATCCCTCGTGGAGGACAACCCCACTACTTTACACACAATTGTCAGATTGTGGCTGCGCCACATCAGTAGGTATTACCCAAAGATGTTTAGGAGGGGCCAAATTAAAAGGTGACTTTTTTATTTAAAGAAAAAGAGATGTTTGGGTTCGATATTTACCCAAAAATAAAAAATAAAATTTGGGTTCGATAGACAGTAAGTGGGCCACACCATCCCTCAGGCCCAGCCTTGTACACGGCCGTATTCTACTGCCCATTAATTGTAACCCAACTGACCCGACCCGACCCAGTAACCAGATCCCATTCCCTTCTTCTTCAGTTGTTCTTCTCCTCCGACTTGGAGCACTTAGGCACCCGCCAACACTCAAGAATTGCAGAGAGGCGGTGAAAAAGGATTTCCAAACCCACCCAAACAAACTGTCCTCAACCCTCAACTCTTCTTTTTCCTTCTTCAAATTTTCTCCAGTCTCCCTCCCGCGTCCCCTTTGTTCCTCTTCTCCTGCCGCTTCATTTTCTTCTTCTCCGCTGATTTGCTCTCAATCAGGCTCAGGTATATATTAATTTCCTCTTCTTTTCTTTGTTTTCTTATTGTATTTGGTTCAGTATCTAATTAATTTCAATTTCTATTGGATTTTATTAGGGCTTGCGGTGATATCTGATAACCACGCCTTTGAGACTTGAGCTGCTCGAGGCCTGCGATCGCCGACGAGCTTGTGAGAAGGCTTACGGGTAAGTAGATTTGCTTCTCACCATTTTCCTAAAGAAATTTCGTGTTTTTCAGATACATGCAGTATTCATTGGGCACATGTGGCATTGGACCCAATGCCAACGTCTAACCCTATAATTGTCCCCAAAGGTGGATTTCATGGAACCAAACAGAGTTTCATGCTATAACTTTCAATCTGCTTAGGTATTGTTCTGCATGATACAGAATTTCAAAGCAATGTATGAAATTTGCACATGTTGGTATATTTTGTTGCTGTTTGATATCAATGTATCACAAGTTCCGTAGCTAATGTCATAAATGTGAGAAATAATAACATAAATATAAAACCAAATTCTAGTCAATCTAGTTTCAAGTTTCAAGTCAAGCCAAATGCATCCTTGTTTGTGCAATCAGTTGCCATCTGTGTGTTTATGTGTATGTTTAAATAATCAATCATTAGTAAGTATCGTTTTCAATTCATGTACAGGAGAAGATATTGAGTCTCATAATTGCATTATTCAGTCAGACGATATAAGCCTGCCATATTGGATCGCAAACATTATACATCCAAGAAAGAGGGTAACAGTTGGGTGAAAGATGCTTCAGATCCGGCTTAAGAGTGTTGCACCCCCAGAGGGTGCTGCAGGGGTAAAACCCTTGCCAGCGGAGACTGTGACAGTTGCATGCCCTGACCACCTTGTCCTTGCTGATCTTCCTGTCGCAAAGGGCATTGGTGCTTCAACCATTGCTTCAATTGTCAAGACTGTAGGTCGCAGGTCCCGTCGCCAGCTTGGAGAACGGGTTCACTTTTGTGTTCGCTGTGATTACCCAATTGCTATCTATGGACGCCTGGTATGGACCAACTAAATTTGTCTTTCCACAGTTGCTAGCTGCTTTCAAATTTCTTTTTCTTTCAAAGTTTTCCTTCCGCATGATTAGGTTTCCATGTGGTCTTTGTGTTATTTTCGTCTCTTTAGCTTCATATATTTTTTCTTTAGATTCTCTGGAAATGAATGCTAGAAGTTAAGTCTTGAATTGCATGATATGAATCTCTTGTATATTAACTAGATTGTGTTCTTGCAGAGCCCTTGTGAGCATGCCTTTTGTCTGGATTGTGCTAGGAGTGACTCGATCTGCTATCTGTAAGATTTCTGAACTTTACATAGTCATACTAGAGCATGAATTTGTTCCCTGCAAACTTGTTCCTTTTCTGTCTGCAAACTTGTTGGGCTTGTAGTATTGTAGACTTTTGTATAATCTCCAACAGCCCGTTTGACTCTTGCATGTTTAGTTCAATTATTTAGACTGCTCACCCAAGGGACTTCAGTTGTGGGGAAATGCATTAAAGGGTTGGATTAGCTTCAATAAATTATACATTTCAACAGTTGTCAAATTCAACCATTAAATGCATTGTCCCAATTTAAGTACCTTAAGAGCACTTCAACTATTGTTTATGTGTAATTTGAGGTTTGCTACTCGCAGCTGAGTTCACTTCATTTTGAACTTGATGAAATATTCACTTGAGAGTTAACAATACACAAATGAGGAGTTGAAAGAGATCCACGGTTACTGGATCAAGTCTTAGTATAAGTAAAATATTTGGCTAGGAACAAAAGACCAGTTTATACACTGCTGCAAGATAATTGCTCCAAATGTTGAGACTTGTCAATGCGAATGGATTTCAAATATAGAGTTTTTTTCCATTTCTTATTGGTTACTGGATGACTTCACATCCAACTATAATAGCAAACGGCCCGTAATTATGCTTAAAATGATTGTTAATTATTATTTGTGGAAATTTTATTTTATTGACAAAGAACTATTAGAATTAACTGATGAATGATAACATCTAATTTTCATGATTTATTGTACAGTTGTGATGAACGCATCCAGAAGATCCAGACGATCAAATTGATGGAGGGAATCTTTATTTGCGCAGCCCCTCACTGTCTGAAATCTTTCCTGAAGAGGAGTGAATTTGAATCTCATATCCATGAGAACCATGCTTACCTTCTTCAGCCAAATGCGGACAAAATGGATGGAAATGAGTCAGAAGCTCGAAGTACCAAACAAGGTACAGTATCGGAATCCACTGGCCGTGCTCCACCAAGGCCAGTCTTTTCTCCTGGTTCAAATTCCCAGCTCCATGACCGTGAGGACAAAGCTCGTCTTCAACAATCTAGAGAACAGTCACTTCCAAGGCCAGTCATACAGCCCAACCCAGCCCCAGCTTTTGGGCAACTTCAGAATAACCCAGCAGATCTCAGTCGTCCCCCAGGCTTTGACAGGCCTAGTCCCCACAATCTCTTCCATCAACAAAGCTATGATTCAGTGGGTAATACAATGCAGGAATCTGGCCAGTTTTCAGATAAGCAGCAGACTCCCTTTTCTGAATACCCACCCATGCATTCTATTCAGCCCCCCAATTATGCAGTTCCCATTAATTCGAATCAAGTGCGGATGCCCCTTCCATTTGCCTATCCTTTTCCCGTTGATGGATCTCAACCATTTTATAATGCTCCCTATGAGATTGCACGGCAGGATTCAGCACCAGATGTTGGACAAGAACAGGGGTCGTTATTGGGTTTTCCCCCAGGTTCAGCGGGGAACATGAATTTCGCTGCTAGTTATCCACAGTCTTGGAATGCAGGACAGGCCGGGGTTCCTTTTGAAGCTGCACAAGGGGGTCAAGGAACTGCAGATGGTTTCTCCAACTCCTCAGAGTCTCAAGGACAAGTTGCATTTTATCAAGGAGAATACGGACGGAATCCAGGGGGTATGCCTTTCAATCCTCAGCATATGACCAACAAAGCAATGGAAGCAGTGCAGGGTGGAAATTCTATGGATCCAAGAGATGGCAAAGGTATATTAGCATCACAGCCCATGCCCCTTCCTCCGCCGCCTCCACCCCCACCTCACATGTCACAGCTCAATCGTCAGTTTTATCAAGGTGATACCGGTCGAGATGGACAGGGGTAGGACTGGCAACATGAGAACCCCGTGATGACTATGGTGGTGGCCAAGTCTAGAAAACATTTCATCTTTGTAATTTCCCCCTTTTTTTTAACCCTCTGTGGAACTCGTTACGGTTATTATTTGGTCCAAAGCTCTCTTGAGTATTTGTTTCGCTCCCTGGTTCAGGTTTTACTTTATTGATAATTGTCAATGTCACTACTAGTAATCAGAATGATCCGGCTGATTTTAGCAAGTTAGATTTATGAGAAGCCACCAACTAGAGATAAACAATTGGGCATTTTTTATTGAGTGCTGCTATTTCCACCCCTGTCCTATTTCCCCACCCATATTATTTTCAAATTCATTAGCTAATGACGTCATTTAAATTTAATCCAATGGCTGAAAAGTTGGCATATCAATAAAATATTTAAATTCAATTGAAAAATATCAAATAAAAATAAATAAAATTTCAATCCTTCTGTCCTTCCAGCCCATCGATCACAAGATACGGATCCTCCCGTCCCCACCTCCCCAACCACCCTTTCCCCACCACCCCACCACATCGAACCCAACAACAATCCACCCTCCAACTCAATCAATTTCAACCCAAAGTCCCAAATTTCTCAATTAAAAACCCATTCTTATAATTTTCTTTTGGTACAAATCGTTGGAATTGATTAATTCATGGGATGAGCTGGAGTTGCAGAGATGGGAATTGAGGGAGAGCCCAGTCACTAGTCCATACTTAAATTGATGCGCAGGAGAGGGCATTTTCTCCGTTATGTGAGATCGAGTCCTTTGACGGCGACTTCTTTACTGCCAAGACGCCGTTACTCGACGGCCTCATCAACGCCTGCTCTTCCACCATCCCTCTTCCTCCTCCGTTAGTGAGCTCATTATTCGACGCTTCAGAATTAAACATGGAAGAAAGTGACGGTGTTTAGCTGGGCTGTAGAAATTGTAAAGAAAGAGATAGTGTAGGAGAAGGGGTTTGTCTGGGTTATGGTGGTTTTTGGGGGGAAAAAGGGAGAGAGAGGGGGAGTGAGTGAGGGGCCGGGGCATCTCTAAGAGGACTGGGGTGGAGCTCTTGGAGGTGCGAGAGAGAGCCTGGGCAATGGCGTAGGGGGTGGGAGTAGAGGAGTGAGAAATTTGAGGTTTGATCTTTGTGCTTTAGATTTTTTTTTTTTATAGCTTTTTAAAATTTTTAATTTGAGGCAATTGTTTCGTTTTTTAATGTTTTTCTTCAAGGCTTTAGAAGTCATTTTACAAATGGGTAAATTTGTTTTTAAAATTTTAAAAATAAGGTGGGTGGGAAAATAGGACAAGATGGTGGAAATAGCAGCACTCTTAATTAGTTTCCTTGTGGGGATTGGGCAGCTAGGTTTTAGGAGGTATTTAAGTTCTTTTTCACATCAATTTTTGGGACTTCTTTTTGGCTTTTGAACGTGACATTGTGGAGAGCAATTGCTAGGGTTTTGGAGTTTTGCGACTTTAAGGTGTTTTCATTCTTTTCCTTCTTAAGAATATTTTTCATGATTTCAATTGTGAATATGCGTAACTAATTTTCTTTTGCTAGGGTGAAGCCTTGAATCTTAGCATTAATATGTAATTTTTATTTAATTGCTTATGATTGATTGTATGCATACTTTGAATTGTTAATCAAACTATCTAATTATCTTTATGCCTGATCACCATTAGGATCTTTAGAAAAGTAATTTGATGCAATTTTGGTCGGAAGGTTCTCTGAGATTGACATTGGCTTCTTGTGATTAATAATTGTAATTTCACCTAAAATGAACACCACGTCTTAAGGGTTGCATGGTTTTTCAAAGGGTTTTCACAAAACATAATGAGTCTTCATGTTCAGATTTGATACGAACGTTCGGACGGGTTGCATGTTGGATATACGTTCTATGTTGGATGTTCCAAGTAGAATATAAACTAGGAAAACCTAACCTTCAAAGTGGCATGTGCAAATGATAAGTAATTGGTAAAATTTCATAGGATTGCTAGGTGATGGTGAAACCCTAGTGCTTTTATGAATTGGTATTTAAAACTCTTTTCTTCAATCATAATTGTTTTCATTTAAAATTTGTTTTTAGTATCAAACAATTTCATAATCATCTTTCTCAACTTTTAATTTTAGGTAGTTAATTGGAAAATGTTTTTACATAAATTGCTAAATAGTTCTTGAGGAGAACGACCTTGCATGAGCATCTATACTACAATAGCTTTGTATTCTTACAAGTATTTTATGTGATTTTAACCTTATTTGCGTGGATGATAAAAATCGTATCAGTTACCTTCAATTTATTTCAAAACAAAGTTGCAAACTTCTCTTCGTTGTCTCAAGACTGTTTTGTATCCAAATTTTCATCTGCATAGAATACATCGCGGACTAATATATCTCATAGCAGAAGAGAAGGGTTGTCAAGTGCAATGAGAAAAAAAGGCTGTAATTGGGTTTAGTTCACAATTACGATGGATACATTTTAAAAAGTAAATTCCTATACAAGCAATTTTATACTATGAAATTCAACCTTCTTTGATCCACAAAATGTTGGCGGATCCCTATTTTTTGTTGTTGTATTTATGGGTTTAACTCGTATTATTTGTTATAAATAAAATCCATTTTTTTATTCTTACCCAATGGGCTAATAGCTGGAAATCATTAGAATGGGAGGTATTATAAAGAATTTAAATTTTCATTCCCCAATATCACTTGTATAAATAAAATAATTGAAGAAATAACTCTAGCCCAATGGGCTAAAGTGGTATTTTAGCCCTAGACCCTAAAACGATAGGACAAAAATGTATATTTAAAGGGTAAATACATTTGAATATTTTAAAAGTATAGCCGAACAGCTAGACTCTTTAAATATTAACATATTCGAATATTTTAAGAGTAAAGCCGCACGGCTATACTCTTTAAATATTATCACGTAGCTTGCACTTGCAGTCACAGCCATTTCGCTTCCCTATCAAACTCAAAGTTTCGATTAGTTTTCTTCGGTTTCGGCTGCTTCGTCCTTCGGGTTTGGCACCAAAAAAAGACCCAAACCGCCTAGGAGGCCCGCCCAGCCGCCTAGCGTCCGTCTAGCCCCCGCCTAGCCGCCTAGCGCCCTCCTAGCCTCCGCCTAGCCGCCTAGTGCCCGCCTAGCCCAACATCGCCGACTTATTGCAGATTTTGACGGAGAAAAATCTGATAGCAGAGACATGGTCGAGTTCCAGAGCCATAGAATTGGACCATATTCAGGAGGAGATTGAGGAGGTGTCTGCCGTTCCAGAAGTGAAGGAGAAGAAGAAGAG